ACTCCAAATGAATCAAAAAGACTTGATCTGAAAATGAGACCCTGCAATCTTATAATAAAAGTCCCTTCGTGTATAGAACAATGCTTGCAACATGGATCTGGTTCGTTCTGGTTTTTGGACATGTCTATCAAACAGCAGCTTTCAAGAACACTTTGGGAATGATATGGGTTTCCTGTATGATGATAGAAACCACATATTTGTCAAGGTGCTTATTCTACCCATGTGGTATACTTTTTCATTTTGTGGTAAAGATGGCCAACAGTAGCAACAGGGAAATTTTATGTTGCCTGTGGTTGCGGATTTCTAGCACCTACGTAACAATCCTGCAAGAGAAGAAACCAAATGTTTAAGAAAGCGGCTAAATGCCTTTTATCTGAGGTTTTCTTGTTTGGAAACTTAGCGGTATTAATCCTTTTTGATTGGGTGAAATTTCTTTGTTTCTTGCGATGTCTATAGGCTCTAACTGGCCATATATTGTACCTACACGCTGCTTTTACTACAGTCCTGTACTTTAATAGGCAGTAACACACCAACCTAAATTTCTTTCTAATTGAGGCATGTGTTTTGTCACACAGCACTGTGTCAACAGACGGCTCATTACAGTAACTATACAAATGCTTTCTTTGGTCATTATTACTCAATGCGTTTAACCCATTAAATGACATTTCAAACATAATCCCTTTGTGTTTGAGTTGAGCAGAAATGGAGATTTAGACTTTGTGTTTGGTGCAAGAAAAGCAGATGCGTGTAGAGTGTGAAAGGCTAAAAGTGCAACAGACAAATAAAGGGAGGCGTCAGTACAAAGAGGAATATCAAGGCCGAAACAAAAGCAGAATCATAAATCAGAAATACCTGGAGGTGATCACTTTTTTGTAAAGGTTGGGCTAGTGTTCACCCGCAGTGAATTAGGCCATGGTGGCGGCGGAAAAAAAAAGGCGGGATAGAAAGGAGACAAGAATGCATTTCCACATCCCTCTCTTTGCCTGCAAGACGAGGAAAAGGCTGAGTGGTATACCAGCAAGCAACCCCACTTGAACAGGGGCTGGGGCTTGAGAGCAGTTTCTGGGCCATGCCCTCCTCTCTCCCTGCCCACTTTTGCCCTGCTGCCAAGAGGGAGAGACAGCGAGGAGAAAGGGAGGCAGGAAAAGAAACCATCAAGTCAAAACAGTTTTGTCTACACACTCCTACCAAAGATATTAAATCCATGCAGGATATACATAAAAGTAGACTGAGTTGTGTTTTGAAGTGAAGACAGATTTGACCGAGTATAATTGCTCGGTGAGCACTCACATGAACTGTAGATTATGTGTCATCAAACAGACATCTCACTTGACTGTACGATGAAGTGCTGGGACGGAGTGGAGAAAGCAACAGAGACAAACAGAGAAATAGGCTCAGATAAAGAAATCAGAAGTGAGTACTTACATGCTGTCTTCTAACAAAGCTAAAAGGTTAGACACGTTTATCCACTGTTGGTCAGACAATTCAGTGCCAGATATTCCAGAGCAAATGAGTGAAACCTTTTGTCAGCAGTTGGCATCATTCCCAGGTAGTACATGCTTCACAGTTCCCATTTTCGGTAGCCGCTCCGGATGTCTTTAGTTGTTCTGCACCTGCCTGACGTTTTTATTTGGATTTGTTGCTCAACAGATAAAAGGAGATCATAACTGCTGAGAATCTGATGTAATTTGGTTGTGATAGTGAATGGAAACCAGTGTTTACTGTCATCATAACAGATCAAATGAGTGTTTGGGCATGTTTACTACAATACACCCTCAAGTAGCAATATGTGTCATGGGGTTCTGAAGCAAAAATAAGGGCAAGGGAAGAGTCGGTCTCTGGGAATGAGCAAATCCAAAGGTAATGTTCTGCGTGGATCATCACCAAGAAATTAAATTTAAAAAATCCCATATGCAAGTCCCAAAGAGGACACAGTGCTATAATTTGTAGTGTGTCCATGTCACAGAGTGCCATAGATGTTCATCAGTATCTTTCCTCAGGCAATATCCGAGACAGCTTCCTGTGTGACGTCAGACTCTTCGCTTTTTTTTCCTTATACTGTAAATAATTCTCTCCTCATGCAGTCTTCTTTCCAGGACATTTTGTGCATATTCTTGTAGAACCTGTTCTTTCAGTGAACAAAAAGTGCATATGAATCGTTGTTCTGACATCTCAGGCAGGCTGTAGAAGAGCAGTGAAGAGGAGAGGAGCTGCAAACTCTTTGCAAATCTCATTTTGTGTCTTCTCTTCCTGTTCGCGAATGCTGAGCTTGTAAAAGTTTCAGCTGCAAAGACTTGGGCCAGCCTCTCCTGGCACTGGTTCAAAAGGGCACTGCCTCTTTCAAAAAAAAAAAAACATAGTCTGCGAGTGGAGTGCTAGCTCTCCCTCTCTCCCACCACACTCACTCTCTCAGGGATTCAGGGCAGTGACCGTTCTCAGGACATTTACTCTCAGGGTAATGCCAGCTCGTGCCAGCTTAGTCATTAACTCATTTGTATATGCGTTAGGGATTCACACTAGTCTGGATCGCTCCGGGGAGGCTGGTCTCTAACACAGACACCCACAGAATAGGAAATTCAAGCTACCATACAGCACTACTTCCTGGATATTTTGTCCTCCATTTCAGATATCTCATGAAGCTCAGTAGGGCTTGTAATACAGTTCACACAGGGTTTCTAGTTGATTTGCATTTGTGGTCTGAGTGGCTGACATTTCTCTGCGCTCTGTGTACTTCCGGGGGCATGCGAGAAAGATAGCTGTGTGAAATAGCCAGAAATCAAATGACAGTACAGATTTTTTTTTGGCATTTTACCACATACAAACTGAAATCATTCTACAAACTGTCAAGACTTGTTTAAGCATTCTTAACTCTTCCATATTGGATTTGTTTTTGCAAAGTTGTAAACTACCGTTGTCTGTCCTCGAGAAACATTCTAACCGGTCACACAGCTAACAGTGCAGTGAGAAGTGTGTCAAAGATCATAGCGACCTACTGAAAGCTGTAAAATTGATGAGTAACAACAGCTTTTTTTCAGAAGTAAAATAAATAAAGCACAGTCATCTTTGGAATTTACAGTAAGAGGAAGGAAGCTGCAAAAAAAAAAAAAAAAGTATTTTGTAAAAATGTGGTTCTCCAGCAATTTGATACAATGAACTGTTTTAACTAGAAGGCTCAAAATCTGAGAAAGGTCCATAGTGTATGACCAAGTACTCAAAAACATACGTACACTGTGTATATGTGCAGCACATTCACCTACACCTCTGCAATCATCTGCCTCTGTGCATTTGTCTTTTTGAGGACTGAGTTGGCCTCAGTGGTTTCTGTGGTGCCACTGTCTGTGTCTCTACACTGGGACATCCACTTGAAAGCCTGCTTACAGTGTAGTGATGTCATCACCTGCTCACGGTACATTGTTCATGTCATTGTGTGCAGCCATAACAAGATCCCCTCTTGCCTAGCTGAGATGATTTTATTAACAAGGAAGAGATACCAGTGAGTCTTGTGAGTGAAGACGTGTTCTCAGTTCAGTCCTTATTAGATTTGGGACATTGCTGCTTTAGCCTTCATGCAAATTCTTATTTCATCATTGCCTCTTAGCTCCTCGCTAAGTCACCCCTGAAAGTCCACTGAAGACCACATGTACAAATAACAAGATGACTTTTGTGTTGAGATAATAAAAACCTGATACTTTAGCTTTAAAGGCAGCAGCAGAACATTACATAGTTAACAGTGTATGAAAGTCATAAAAGTCATACAGGCTTTCTGTGTTCTTGAAAAGTCCTTGAGAGCAGTGACATTATAGTTTGTCTGTTTTGTGAGATACAACTCTGTCGAGGACATCATGGCCACCCACTCTCAATTGAATTAACTGTTTATAATAGTGACGGCCCAGGGGAAGAAGCTGTCCTTGTGTCTGGTTATTTTGGGGCAAACTCATCAAAACATGTGCTAAACACTAAAGGCTCCATCGTATCTTAAAGACCTCGTAGAGCCTTATCATCCTAACAGAGCACTTCGCTCTCAGAGTGCAGGTTTACTTGTGGTTCCTAGAGTCCACAGAAGCAGAATGGGAGGCAGAGCCTTTAGCTATCAAGCTCCTCTCCTATGGAACCAACTCCCAGTCTCAGTTCAGGAGGCGGACACCCTCTCTACCTTTAATATTAGACTTAAGACTTTCCTTTTTGATAAAGCTTATAGTTAGGG